TACTGATGAGACAGTTTTGAGAAAATAAAAGCGGAATGTGGAGTCTTTTATTTCTTTTATTTTCTTAATAACCAAATGAATAATGGCAAGATGACGGCTGCAGTTTGGTAGTGTTGGGAAAATTATATATTAGTGACCAAATTTAATGAAAATTGCTTTATAGTGACTATTAAGTCACAAAAAGATGTAGACTCACCAAACCTAAAAGAAAATAGCATATTAGTGAGCATTTGAGGGTAATTCTGTGAAAACACTTGGTTAGATATATTAATAAACACTTGGTTAGATATTAGCATTTGATGTTAGATACTTAGCCCTCCTGTAGCTAAGTAGCTTACCAAAATGGTCACTGATATGGGCTTTTTATCGGATTACATGACAACTGCAACCCTTGCATGTTCATGGGTAAAGGCTGATGGAAAGAATAAAATACTTTTGATGTTTCTCCCAATGTGTGACTCGGCGGCAGCAATGTAAAAGAACACCGAGCCAACATTACTTATCGGATTTTAAAAAAATCATAAGGGAAAATAACATTGGAAAAAGTTGTAACAGGTCAACTGATTGTAATATATGCCATGCTCGATACTCAAGAGACATTCTTGCTCGAGTTGGTAGCTAAAATCAGAAAATTTGACCGACTGAAAAAAACATTTGAGGTGAGTGGAAGAATAAGTCTGGGTATGTTCAAGTTAACATTTAAACAGGCAGGAAGGATCAATCTTTAAGAAAATCAACTACGGTTTGTTCAAGATGACTCCTATTCGCCTCCTTCAAGTTAAGGTTTAAAATACAAGAGTGAATTTGTTTTCATGTATAATATATAGTTTATTATTTTAATTAGTGAAGAAGAGTATTTACTTAATACGTTTTGAAGCAGGCTCTAAAAAGGATATCATGTTTAGTTTTTGCTATCCATCTTTTTGAAACATTATGGTCACTAATAAACAATTTGCTTCAGTTTTGGCCCCTAATATCCAATCTTCCATAAAATGTTAGAACTACCAAGAAATGTTCTGGTTGAATTGAATTTAAGAAATACCTAGTATATATTTATATATATATAATTTTAAGATTCTTTTTCACAAATTTTCTCCTCAACCAAAAAGGGGCTAGTCTAGTGCACGATGATACCGCCACTACAGAGCCCAACAGGGTCATGTGTGTGCAGTCTTACCTTCACATATCGAGGAGCTAATGCTGTTAAGATCTTCGTGGCAGTTGGCACGACCTCGGAATTTCTTCATTCAGATTCCAAACCTCACCCTACTTCAATTAAGGCTTACTGGCCAATTTTTAGTATAGATTATCATCGTGAAACATGGAGAATTATAAGGGGAAGAGCAGGGCCAGCTCGATATAATTGGAGGCCTAAGGTGGAAAATGTAAACAAGCCACCAACATCACAACCTTCATTACCACTTTTGCCACCATTCTTTTTTCCTTTTATTGGATAAGCAGCCCTGGGCCAACCCCAATAGCGGCAGTCAGGCATGCCCTTGAAGTTTACACAGTTCCATTTTAAGTAAGTTTATATTTACCACTACACCATCTTACTTCCTTCGACTCCAAAGTGGTCATACTCAAATTACTTGCATATCACATTGATACACGCTCTTATTACAGACATATTGATATTTTCATCACTCCCTTCACATATTTGCACAAGTTGACTCATAATAGCTCTCGCTCCCATCTAGCCAAACACCACTTAAAAAATAAAAAACATGAATGCACAACACAGGGACATTTTATCATATATTACACTACTATCAATATTATTATTATTATTATTATTTTTAATGGAAAGTATTTGAAATTATATCAAAAACCAGTATGGTAATGCAAATATTTCTTATTCTTTATTTTTTATTACAATAAGATTTACCAAAAAAAAAAAAAAAAAAAAAAAAAAAAAAAAAAAAAAAAAAAAAAAAAAAAAAAACTATCTTTTTCTAATACTTATATTTTTGTGATTGTAATGGTATTTTTGTTTCATGTCTTATAAAAAAATTAAATTCGAGAATTTACTTTTTCCAAATCAAATTGGTTAAATAGATTCGTAACTCTAGTTATTAAGTAAGAAAAAATTTACATGAATGGAAAACATATCCGACAGAGTTAGCAAATATATCTAAAAAGGGAGAAAATAGTAGAATATGTAAGAATAATTTAGAGAAACTAACAAGGTGGGAGTGTTCACCCTTTGAGTAGCGTGAGTTCAACGATAATAACAAACCTTTACAAAAAAAATTCGCAACTGTCCCGATGGAAAACTAAGCAATCTATTAAATTAATATCAAATGAAAAAGGGCATAAATCGTGATATTCAATCAAATTACTCGGTCACTTGAACTTTTGAATATTTGTTTGCATCTCAGATTCCTTTTTTTCTAAATTGACGGACACATGCATATATATAGATATAGAGAGAGAAATAATGATGATGAAACAAACCAGCATTGGCAAAGAGAAGAGTGGGATCATTGACAGGGACAACGGGGCTTGAATTCCAGTTAACGTGTGCCTTCTCTCCAAAGAAATTGATAAAGGTGTCTCTGACCTTCGTCGCCGGCCACTCCGCCTCTGCCTCCTGCGGCGAACCCATCTCCTCCGGAGAAGATGAATGGAAACGAAAACAAGGGCAGCGAGAAACCACGCCGATTGGAATCGGATTCCGCGGTGACAACAAGAACGCCGCCACTCGAAAAATGGTACCAGCAGAATGAGAGTGATAAGAGGCCACCGCAACTATATAAGTTGACCAAGCAGAAGGTGAAGAACTATTGGCAACTACTCCTTTTGCCCTCTCTCTGTGGTTTTTCCTTTTCTTTTGCAAGTTTGCAACTTTCCCTTCTTCTATAAATACAATTGCTTTACTTTCCGAAAAAAAAAAAAATTAAAACTACATTAGAGCATCAGTGTAAAACTTTATAATCTGCAGCATGTTAAAACACACCATCATCTTATGTAAAATTATAATTTCTGTGTTAAAATACTTTTTTTTTATGTAAAATAGACTTAATATGTAAAACATTTCTATTTCTAAGTAGTAAAATTGTTGTTTATTTTGCACCATTTATTTACACATCTACATCAATATATGGGCATTGTGCATGATACATGGTTGATTTTGTAGGTTAGTAAAACTTATGTGGATCTTGTGCATGATACATGGTTTGATTATTTGGTAGAAATATTTTTACACAAAATATCAAATATTGGTGGAGCTAAAAATAATTACTCCAATTTTTATTTTTTTTTATAAATCTACTATGAGTCTATGACACATCATATTTTCTTGCCTTACCAAGATTTTTTTCCTATGAATTCGGCATATCCTTTTTTACCCAAAAAAAAAAAAAATAGTAATTAATAAGATAACTTTTCGATCTAAATGAATAAATAATAATAGTAATAAAAATAGGGAGACTAAGTTCACTTTTCTTTTAAAAAAAAAAAATCACTTTTCTCCGTTGACAAGATGGTCGTTAAATTCATTAATGCACTATCCCTTAATTTATAATGCCCCTTATAAAACTTTAACTTTTTTTTACCTTTGTTACTTTATTTACTATTTTTTTCCTTTCTATTTGTTTTTTCCAATCTTCTCTCAAAGAAAATAATTTATTCTATACTAATAATTTATTTTTTTATAGTAAAAAGAAATAATTTATTACATAATGACTTTTTTTTTTTTTTTTTTTTTTTTTACAATTGAAAGGGATATTTATTCAACAAAGTTTACTTTTTTTCAATCAAAAGAGGTAACTTTTTTTTTAATATATAATTTTTTATGGGTCCTATCAAAAGAAATAATTTATTAGATAAAAAAAACTTTTTTTTTTTTTGTTTTTGGTCTTATCAAAAGAAATAATTTATTCAATATAGACAAAAAAAATAAAATAAATAATCCTCTTCTTTTCATTTTTTTTTTATTTTTTATTTTGGGGATCTTGACAAAAAAGATAATTTCTTCAATAAATTTTTTTTCGTTAGATTTTTTTTTTTTTCATGTCAAAAGATATCATTTTTTTAATGGTTACTTTTTTATTTTTTTGGTCAGGTCAAAAGAGTCAATTTATTCAACATAAATTTTTATTTCTTGGTCCCGTAAAAAAAATTTATTCAATTAATTTTTTGTCTTGTCAAAAGAAATCTAAAATAATAAAGATGAAAGATAATGAGAGGAAATCTAAAAGGACATTTTTATCATTTAAAAAATAATAATTAATTACTTGTAAAGTTATACTTAGAATTGTCTGTAATGCAAACTAAAATTGGAATGCAAATATGTCTCCCCAAAAATAAATAAAAATCTCAACAACACACTAAAATATAACTTTGTTGATAACATTTAATTTAAAAGACTTTTTATGTTGGAATTACTTTTTTATTTGAAAATAATAATCACTTAAAAGAACTTTTAGCACTAACCAACAATATAGGCATTCTTTTAACCAAAAAAAAAAAAAAGACAATATAGGCATTCTAAAATAGTTGGCACACAAGGAGAATGAAAATTAAGTTCACACTCATATTTCTTTTAATTTTATTTATTTATTCATTTTTGGTTATTGGCGAAAAAAAAAAAAAAACTAATACACATCCCTCACTTTATTTTTTTAAAGACTCAAATACTGATCATCCATTTTGAAAAGTAAAAGAAATATTACTGATTTCATGTTAAGATTTGTAAAATTGGATCAGATTACATTACAGAGAATTTGGATCCCTCCAAAATTTATGATCAGGTTGAATATGATTTTGTGGGCCCTCTCGACATTTCTTTGACAATTAGAGAATTTAGTGAACCGATTTAATTTAAAATTTGAGTTGCGAAGTCTGCGAACGGCATAAATTTGTTTCTTTTACCATCTTGAGCTCTCTGAAAAGCTTAGGCTTACAACAATTTTTTATGAGATCTACTAAATAACATGATAAATTAAATAATTGAAAGCACCAATACATCAATGAAGATCACACCATAAGATCCGGCATGCAAGGCTTACAATTATGACCACGTGCGGTAGTAAAACACTATAGATCACGTGCAGTGCACGCGAATGCTATGACCAGAAGGAGTAAGTAGCAAATCATTTTTGACTATTTGAAATGACCATTTCAATTGCTCATACAAAAAAAAACAAATAATAATAATAATAATAATTTGCTCATACTGAGTCTTCCCACAAGCACAAGGATCGAAGGACGCAAACCGAACCGGCCACAACCGTAGCTGCGAAAATGGTTGGCACCAAAAAGTCGAACACGGACCTCTTCACCAGCTTCGCCGGCACGCACAGCATCTCTCCGGGAACGTCCATCGGAATCCTGATGAATAATCCACCTGCATTACAAGACCGCGAGAAGGATGAAGACGGCGATACGGCGGAGACAAAAGAAATCTCGGTTGCGAACGAGGCCACTGCCACCATCGCCATCAGAAGAACCGTCCATATGGCGGCGTAGAGCAGTGGCGGCCGCACAGCGGAGAGTCGTTGGAATATGGAGTGAGCAAAGGACAGAGGCATTTATATGTGATGGAGTATTGGTGAACTAGGGCTTTGGAAAGATGTAGTAGAAGAAAAAAGAGAAGTGAGCTTGATCTGAATTACAGTAGTATTATAGATATACAACCACTCTTTGACTTTGCTGTTTAGGTAATATTATGTAGTTGGAGTGGTCAGAAAGGGAGAAGGTAACACGAGTAACTTAAAAATAATAAAATAATAATAATGATAACAAAATGAAAATTGTCACTATGACAGTTGGGCAAGTTATTACCATTGCCATCATTTTTTATTTTTAAAATATTTTTTACAATAATTTCCCCAATTGCTTTTTCTTTCTATTAAATTTTTGGTTATTTAATACGAGAAGTACAATTTTTGTTTTTTGTTATTTTAATACAATTTTTAATTTAATCAAATTAATCTTTTGAATATCTTTTTTTTTTAGGAGTATGAAACAAGTCATCATCATTAGTTACAATCATTACAATTAATTTAATCATAATACTCTTTAAAATATTTTTTTCCTATTATTAAACAAATTCATCATCATCAGTTACTAATATAATATTACTATTATATTTATTGACTTTAAATTTATGTAAGAACACTTCTCCTAACTATATTGCTCTGGTTCAATCTCCAATAGTGAAAATAAGACGGAATGAATTCGTTAGTTGTCAAAAAGAAAAATGAAATTGTAGAATAAATTAAAATTTAAGATATTAAAAATTAAAAGAGTAATGAGCTCTCTCTCCATTTTAAAAAATAAACTAAAAAATTATTAAATAATTTATTTGAATTTTTACATATCTCAAAAACTGTATGAACTTTTTAATTAAAATAAGAGCTAAAGGGAAATAAAAACAAAAAAACAAAAAACAAAACAGAAATTTGGAGAGGAAAAAGAAAGGACATTATGTCTAGAATGATAGTATCATTGGAAAAAGAAAACAAGTGATTATTGTATTTTGTAAACAATAAAAGTAAGTAAAATCATTTAAAGAGTAACGATAGTTACAACAAAGTCGTGCACTAAATGTTAGGTAGGATGATGGGGCAGTCCAATTGACATGATTTTTTGTTAATATGCTTATTTATGTTTATTATTCACTATCCTTAATTTTAGAAACCTTTCCGCCCCCAATTTTTCAGACAAAGTTTCTCTTCCGATTCCATGCGATCTGCAACAACTTTAAATGTTTTGACTATTTACAACAAGCGTTTGACAATTTGTAGAGTACCTCTGGTAAATCAAATATATATATATATACTGTATATGTATATGTTGCTGCAAATTTTAGATGGAATTGTTTGATCAGTATTAGTCGTCTGAATCAATCTCTATTCAATGGATTGACATTGGTGTTGAACTTAAAAAAAATAAAAATAAATAAAAATAAAAAAATGCAGCAACATATACATATACAGGGAGATTGATATATATATATATATTTGATTTATCAGAGGTACTCAATAGTTCCATATTGTTAAAAAGCTAAAACATTTGGAGTTGTTGCAGATCGCGTTGAGTCGGAGGAAAAAAAAAAAATGCTACAAATCGGAGACGGCAGAGAAGTTTATAAAATTAGGGATAGTGAATAGTAAACGTGAATAATCAAATTAGTAAAAATTCAGTTCCCGGACTGTCACATCATTCTGCCTAACAATTCGATGTATGGCTTCAGTGTGACTATTATTACTCTATGCATAAATACTTGAAAGGAATCTTTGTAAAATTACACAATTGTTATACATAATACATGTCACTTTCTAGTGAGGGTAAAAAATAAAAATAAAAATAAAATAAAAAATACTAAAAAAAGGGAGGGAAAAAAAAAAAAAAAAAGCTAACCCGTATGACCTGCTTGGTTTGTAACTTTGAGAAGTTTGGTTCAGTTTTTTTTAAACTATTTTTTGAAAAGTCAATTGTAAAAAAATTTGTTTTTAGAGAACTCTTTTTTATAGTTCTCTAAAAATAATTTTTTATTCTCTAAATTATTGAAAACTGTTTTCAGAGTTATAACCAAACAGGCTTATAGTCTCTAAACCTTCATCTATAACAAACCCTCACAATTTAACAAAAAAAAAAAAAAAAAAGGTCCAAAATATCCATGATAATATTAGCATAATAATTTGAAGTGTTTTAACAGCTCCTGACGCGAAAGTAAAATATATATATACACACACACATAAACACACTGCATCGGGAAAATTCCCTCGAAACAAAAGCAAGATGGTAATTGTTTAGAAGGGCCAGGATCTAAAAATCCCAGAATAAATTATTTATATTCTACATGAACATGAAAGCACAATGGTTTATAAAGCAAGGTAAGTGACTTTTCTTTTAACATTCGCTTACGACCGTCAAAGAGGAATACAAAGAGGAGAATAGTACCCAACTCCCTAGTTTGATTTCGAATAATAACTTTCGAAAAAACAAAATTGAATCAACCAATAATACCCTGGTAAAATATATTCTTATACTATGTATACAGTTGGGTAAGATTCTTTCTTCAGTCTTACCATGATTTTTTATTACTCCACCCAAGTGCATGACTGCAGATGCTGATTCCACAACTTTATCCCTGAAATGTAATATCATATCAATAATAGAATAGAACCAAAAAGAATTGAAAATATCTACCAATAAAAAAATTAGATAAACTATGATGAACAATGCGAATGCCGGTCACAAAAAGGAAGAAGAATAAATGATTGTTTTGCCACACAAGTCTTATACAAAATTATACACAGCAAAAGTTTTGTATGTAAAGATTTCAGATGCAAAGCTAAACAAAGCAATGAATCTACATAACATGTCGGCAATTGAGCATACTACCATACTACAGAAGGTGAAAATTGTAAAGGAAACACATTATGTAACCGGAATCCATAACCCAAAAAGATAGGGGAGGTCAGTTAAATAATATCTAAATTTCAGAAATACAGGAAAGTTGATATCCTAAATAATCTACTAAAGGCTTTTGGTGAATGCCTTTCCCATGCTTTGATGGTTGAGGATTGCTAATCAATGGGATGGTAAGGGGGATGTGCTCATAAAATTTGTTAATGTAAAAAGTTTACCGTCTAACCTGTGGTGACCTTGTGGGCGGGTGGTAGGGGTGACAAAGTTTGACACGACCTGTCAATCCGACACGAGATAACGGGTTTGGGTTGACCTTAAACGGGTGATCGGAGTGCCCTGAACGAAGTCCCTGAGCAGCTGTCACCGAACCAAACGAATTGGAAGAGACTGGGATGCCTGAGTTATTTGAGTGCATTGCAGTTTGAGAGTGTTGGTGCTGTAATGGCAGCCTGGGGGACAATGGGGGCTCCTCCGCCCCATACTCGAGCTCATTCTACAACAATGTCAGTAAAAGTTGTCACAATGATGCACTAGGGTTACGAAAATAGTTCCATCCGTAGCATTCCAAAAGATATCAAAAGAATTATCATTTTTGCAGAATCCAAAGTTAAATATGTGGAAATTGCTGCAGTTCCTAAAAACTTGAACAAATATATAGGCCAGATGTCTCATCAAATGCTACCTTCCTTTGCACTTTCGACAGTACAGAAAATTGCTAGGTTTAATTACTCCCAAGGTGCTTCGACATTTCACCATCCCTTGGGAGTTTGAGGTTAAGCAAACAAGGGATGCAACGGTGCTGGTAAAGCGGGGAAATTTGTTGAAGCAGCAAAAAAGATTGTGGCAAAGCAAACATAAAGTGACTTACACACATCAATTCTATGAGTACATTAGGCCAACCGGTGCATAATTTCGTTAACCAATTCAGCTTAAACAAGGTATCTTTATTAAGACAAGTTAATATCAAAATTCAAATTATCCACCATAGATGGTGCTTCAAGAACCTTTGTTTTTGTAACTTTGTTGAATAATTTCTGGAAAATAATTGTTTCCTTTACAAATTAAACAAAAGCAAACTCCTTCCAACAGGTAGTGTTGCACATTTACTATCTTATATAAATCACTTGCTGTTTCGTTGCCAACAAGTACTACAACTAATCTGACAAACTTCAATATTCCTCTTCCAAAACATTGGGTTAACACCACCCAGGAGAAATTAATTCCGAAACAGCAAGTTCATATTTGCCAACAAGTACTACAGCTAATCTTGACCAACTTCCTCTTCCAAAAGATTGAGTTAACACCACCCTGGAGCAATTAATTCCATTCACTAACCCCGGAGGACATGTATATAGATATATCCGCATTAGAAGACTCTACTAAAAAACTTGCAATGCTTATATTAGTCATGACTGCAAACAATGGCTACCTTTTCAAAGCAAAATATTTCAACTAGAAATTTCAAATAGAGGATTCCAACACTCAGAATTACAACAAATGAGAGACAACATTGTCTGTATGGCTTTCAAACAGAGGGATACACCCGAATAAGTCAACAATCAAACAACCATATACACCCATCTTATACTTCCATCAATTATTCAAATTCTCAATCAGTCATATCATAACTCAGACACACAGTCAAATTATCACCAAAATGAACCATAAAACAGAGTCAATGTCAGCAATCAACAATGAAAACAAAAGAAATAATTCCGAACAGAAACATCATTTATCACCACCCAGATAATGAACAAAACACCAAAAATAATATATATATCAAGCTGATCGCAGCAACTACATAACCTCTGGACATCGATTCCCATTCAATATCCAGGTTCACGTTCTTCATGCGCATAAAAACATAACGTCTGGACCTTCATCATTTTCTGTAATGCGTTTGAGTGCCTTTCAACTAATCAGGTACAAACCCTCAAATTTAAAAACAAGCTCCAAAATATCAGTGACAATATTAGCATAATGATTTGAAGTGAAGTTGGCAAATAAATGTTACAAGTGCATGGCTTAACACATAGAAGATGTTAATCCGCACTCCTGAAATGCAAAGAAATAGCAGTGAACTAATTCACTGAACTGGTGAGAGCAATGATTTTATCTGCTAATTTATACACAGATACATACTTCCTAGTAGCACAAATTCAGACGGCAAATTTCAATACATCAGATCTACAGAAGAAGTCCACCAGGAAACAGAAAATAAATGGCTCTCCATTTAGAAAAGTGGAACCTCGGGTATTTTAATACGTAGAAAGGCCCTATAAATGCACCACATCTGGGAAATTCCCTCAGAACAAAAGGATAATGTACGCAGTTGTTTAGAAGGGTAAAGGTTTAAAAATGCCGGACAACAAATTATTTACATACTACATGAAAGCACAATGGTTTATGAAGCGAGGAAAAGTTACTTCTTTAATATTTTGCTTACAACCATTAAAGAGGAATACAAAGAGAAGAATTTAATTTCAAATAATAACTTTTGAAACAATAAAATTGTATCAGCCAATAATACCCTTGCAAAATATGTACGCAGTTGGATAAATTTCCTTCATGAATTATTATTACTCCACCCAAGTGCAGGACTGCAGATGCTGATGTATCAATATACCCCCAACTTTATTCCTGAAATGGAATTTCAAAGTGCTACATTAACCATAAAGGATTGTCAAAAAAAATTTTTTGAAAATTGCTATCAATAGAAAAATCATATAAACTATATCGAATAATGCTAATGCTGATCATTGTATCAGAAAAAAGAAAGAAGATAAATGAATCATTTGCCACATCAGTCTACAAATTAATGGACAGCAAAAGTTTGCATATTAAGATTTCAAAAATGCAAAGCTAAACAAATAAATAAATCTACACAAAATCAGGGATTAGAGGATCCTACCTTACCACAGAAAGATGGGGAGAAAATGTAACAGATGGACATGATGCAATCCAAATGCATACCAAAATGAAAAGCATTTTACAAAAACATCAAAAGAAATATCATTTTTTCAAAATCCAAAGTTAATTATGTTGAAATTGCTGCAGTTCCAGAAAAACATTGAACAAATATATAGGCCAGAAGTATCACATGGAATAAAAAGAGACAAATGCTACGTTTGACAAAGTCCAGAAAATCCTTAGGTCAAATTAGTCCAAAGGTGCTTCCACAGGAGTTTGAGGTTAAGCAGCAAGGATTGCAACGGTGCTGGTAAAGCAGAGAAAATTTGATGAAGAAGCAAAAAGATTGTGGCAAAAATAACATAAACTGAACTACACACATCAAAACCGTGTGTCATACACTTCAATCCTAAGAGCACATTAGGTCAATCTGTGCACAATTTCATTGGCAGTTGAGCCCAAACGAGACATCTTTTCTTAAGACAAAATAAATCAAATTTTTATCGACCATAGATGGTGCTCAAGAACCTTTGCATTTGTAATGTTATAGAATAACTTCCTGACAACAAAACCAAACTCCATCTAACAGGTAGCATTGCAAATTTCCTTTACATATATCACGCGCTGTTTGAGAAGTTCATATTTGCCAACAGGAACAACATCTAATCTAACAAGCTGATCTGACAAACTTCCGATTTCCACTTTCAAAACATTAAATTAACAACACCCAGCACTGATCAAAGCAAGTAATTCCATTCACTAACCAAGAACACACACACACATTAGAATAGCATTCTAAAAGACTCACAGTGGTTAAATGACTCATGATAGCAAATAGAAAATTCAAAGAGACGATTCCAACATTCAAAATTACAACAAGTGAGATTCAACATTACCTGTATTTTTCAAGGCTTTGGAAAATAGGAATACACCAGAATAAGTCAAAAATCAAACAAACCATGTACACCCATCTCATTACTACTTCATCAATGATTGAAATTCTCAATCAATCATTACCAGAATAGAGTCAAACTATCACCAAAATGAACAATAACACATAATCAATGTGAGCAATCAAGGAGGAAAAACATGGAAAAAATTCTAACCATAGACTACATCATTAATCACAACACCCAGATAATGAACAGAACACCAAATTAAAAACATATCAAGCTGATTAAAGCAACTACAATAATCACATTGTAAAAACTGTCATAGCTAACAAATTAAGAACTCAACCACAGGCATAGGATAACCCATTTGTATGCATGCATGTCTATATCAAAAGACCACAATGAAACAAGAGGCAGGATATCAATACGGTTAAAGTAGTTTCATTTCTTAATCAAACATCAGTACTTACATCCGAAGTATCTAACCCAAAAACCACGATAAGACAACCAGGTAACAAAGCTAGATGAAAACAGAAAACAAGAAACCTAACTTTTTACCCCCAAATCCCCACAAACCCTAGAAACCCCTGAAGATTCAAGAGCTGGTAAATTTAGTCACCGCCTTTGTACCCTCAGACACCGCATGCTTGGCTAATTCACCAGGGAGCACTAGCCTCACAGCAGTCTGAATCTCCCGAGACGTAATGGTGGGCTTCTTGTTGTACCTGGCGAGCCTAGACGCCTCCTGAGCGAGCTTCTCGAAGATGTCATTGATGAAGCTGTTCATGATCCCCATGGCCTTGCTCGAGATCCCAATGTCAGGGTGGACCTGCTTCAGCACCTTGAAGATGTATATCTTGTAGGTCTCGACGCTCTTCTTGGTCCTCTTCTTCTTCTTGTCACCGGCGGTGGCTCCGCCTTCCTTCGGCAGTTTCTTCCCGGCCTTTGGCTTCTTCTCCGCCGGAGCCTTCTCAGCAACGGTGGTTTTCTTCTCCTCCGCCGGCTTCTTCTCGGCTGGTTTCTTCTCCGCCTTTGGCGCCATCGAAATTTTCAGAAAACGGAAAGTTGTACTTTAGAGAGAGTAGAGAGAATGGAACGAAACGTCTAGAGATGCTTCTGGTGATGAAAGAGGGCTGGGTTTGCGTTTCTTATTTATCGATGTGTATGATTTGTTTTGATTGGGGATTGGGGAGAGGCGTGGATCCATGAGGTGTCAAGATATTGGCCGTTTATTCTATTCCAGTTATTATGAGAATCGACGGCTTAAGAAGACGCATGAAGGAAGGGTTCGTGGTGAGCTTCATTGGCATGACCTGGATGGATGGTCCTACACGACAACCCGACCCTTTTGGCTGTTCTCGGGTCAGTTCATCCCAATTTGTCATTTAAAAATAGAAAATAAAAATAAATCAAATTATTAAATTCTACTTAAACAGTTAACAAATATGAAAACTGAAAAAAATAAGGAAAATGATATTAGGGCAGATTATTTTGACAAATTTGAGAGACCGATGCATACGTGGCTAGCCACGTGATGATGTCAAAAGCAAGGGCGGAGCCAAGGGGGCGGGCAACGGCTATGCCCCCTTAGATTTTTGAAAATTTTTATGCATTGAAGTCTATACTTTTAACTATATAGGTCTATTCTCTCCCCCTCGAAACAAAAAAAAAAAAGAGGGGAAAAAAAAAATCAATTGGCCTCTAACCAAACACATTTTTTTGTTTCTTTTGGTGGGTTGGTCCTAACGTTTTAAACTTTTAATTTTCTTTTTCATAACTTCGGCTTCTTTTGGTCCACTTTTTGAGTTTTTATTTTCTTGTTTTTGGTTATTTCCTCTCTCCTAGGCACTTTTTTGGCCATTCTCTATTTGTATCTCTCTCTTATCTTTCATTTTTGTTCTTCTAATATAGAATTGTGAGCGCAGTCCGGCATGAAGATCTATGATTTTGAGCTCAGTCCAATATGAGATTATATATATCAATTTTTACCCTTTCATTTATTTTTCGTTTCCAGATCTATCGATTTTGTGATTATTTTGCCTTTTATTTTCAGATCAATAAACACGAGCACTGCATCACACCGGATTGAGGTATGATGTTTATCTCCATTTCTTAGTATATCAATTTTCGATATTAATTTCTTTAAAAATATATATTAATTTTACTCTTTCATTTTGTTTTCTGTGTTCCGATATATAGATTTTGAGTCTTCTTTTTTTTTCCTTTTTTTTTTTTTTTCTTTTTTCAGATCTATCATTTTGAGTTTAACAAAAACAAGTAGTGAATCTCAATAATCACATCAGACTGAGATACTCCAAATGATATTTCTTTTTGTTTTTCAGTTTATCAAACTTCAATATTAATTTCCTAAAAAATAGATTAATTTTCACTCTTTTTTTCTTTTTCATTTTTATATCTATCAATTTTCAGTTTGTGTTCGTATAAAATGGTGAAAGTTAATGATAAAATAAAAAATTATAAAGTTAAAGTCACCTAAATTAGAATGAATCAAATGCTGGAGAATTAAAAATTGGTGGGGGTGGACTCCATGAAAGGAAAGTACACCACTGAATGTGTTACAAAAAAAACTACATTGAAATAAAAGAAACGAAAGGGTTCACCACTAGAGTGAGTTCTTATAACACATGCAATTGCGTTTTTTAGGAAAGTTTAATAAATATAAAAAAATATGAATAGTAAATTATTTTTGGCCTAAATTAGTCTTACGGGGATTCTTCTTATAAGTTTGTCCCCCCTTCCCACGGAATCATGGCTCCTCCCCTGCTTAAAAGCCATCCCATCCCTTGTTTGGTTTCCTCCCACCTCTGGTTCTCGCTCTTGCTCATCTTCACCACTTTCTCTGTATCAGTATAATCTATGTCGTGGCTATCTTTCACTCTTCAAGTGCAACCCTCTCATTTATCTCCCATCTCTTTCCTATGGCAAATAATCGACCAGAGAAGATTGTGTGAGACATAACCGGTGACAAGGACGGGTCCGGTGTTATCAGACCTCATCGACGTCGAATCAGTTCTCTAGGCATGCACCGCTAGTGTGATTAGCGTTAGTGAAGGAGAATAGGACGTCGATGTTGTTCTTGGTGGGAATCGGCGACATTGGTGTCGCCGGAAGAGAGAAATTTGGCGTTGGGTTTTGATTTCTCCATGATTTATGGTCGTTAAGCAACCAGAGATTCGCTCGCTAGGTTGAACGGCTTCTGGTGTTGAGGACCTTGAGTTGGATGGCGGCGGAGGTGAGTTGACGAGAACAAATAAGTCGAGTGCATGGTGGGCGTGTGGGCACGCGATTTGGGGGAAGAAGACGCGTGAAATGCATGAGGCGCATGTTGAACACAGGTGTTGCAAACGTCACCAACGATGTCATAATTGACGCAGATGGATGCCGTAGTTGACGCCGATGGAGTACGGTCTCGTAGATCGGTGTTTGGAGATGGCGTGTAAATAAAATCAATAGCATAGAGGCACGAATCGAAACACATTGCCACAGTTATAGGCCATGCAAAACAGTCTCCTCATGGTGAAGTCGACGGCAACTGATGAGGGAAGAAGCAAGACATGGGTTTTTTTTTTTTTTTTTTTTTTAAGTGTTAATTGCCAGGTGGACAGCCCTGTGGATTCTGCCAAAGCAATCGGCCAAAATGATCGGTCCCTCTATCACGACCCAAATAATAATTGTGAAAATGCATTCCCTAAGTTCGATATAAATTTGATTGTTGGGCTATTTTATTTAAGCTAAGTATTGAATTTGAATGTTTGGTTATTTTATTATAAATCAACACTTTCTAATTATTTATTATCATATCCAAATTAAAAGGACAATATGTGAGTCCTCAATGGGAGGATGTATTATATTCTAATAGCTAATGTGGACTAATAACAAATGGACACGTGCTCATTAATTATGGTAAGTATGTATCCCACCATTTTCTAATTTGGTAATCAAATATATACCCCAACCATTTGTGATTTGGTAATTAAAATGATATATCCATTTATTATTGGTCCACATAAAAGGTTAATATAAAGTACATTATCACCGATGAAGACTTAAGTATCGTCCAAATTAAAATGCATGAACATTTACGTGGTAATGAATGATGATGAAAAGTTAAAAATGTCTTTACTAATTGGTTGTGGACAAATTGAAGTTAAAAAATATATATACTAATTGATCATGGTAAATAATCGCATTCACATATTGCTCATGCCTGAGGTCGTAACCTTCAACTATAAACCTGTAATTCTTTAGAAGAATTTAAAGAAGTAAAGCTAGAAAAACGACGAAAATAAGGGGGTTCTCGAACCTCTCTCATCCTCTTTAAGGATAAGGAGAGTATATCATTGGACTAAAAGGTACTTTTAAATTTTTTTGTGTAAGGATAGTCCAATTTTTGTGGATTCTTAAACTACTTTTTAGCAATAAATATCAATAATTTGAATATATCACTTACAACAATAAGGGATTAAAAATAGTGAGTTGGAAGATGAAGAAGAAGTAAACCTGACTAAGATATTAAAAGGGAGGGAAAAGGAATTACTGTGCCATAACAAATAAACTTAGTATGTTATTGGTGTGCATTAATGGTGATTCTCACATATGCCTTTAATGACATGGAGTAATCTTATTATCAAGGATTATAAAGGTGGCATGATTATGTGTTAAACCCTCTTTTACAAGCAATAGCCTTGTCTAATTACTTTACTAATCAAAACTTTATTTATAGTAGTTGAGCATCAAATGGCACGTGAATACACATATATCGAGTTAGGTCAGGTAATTGAGTGTTTTGATGAACTCTAGCTTATCAGCCTCCACTCTAGGATCCTTTCGGACATTCTAATGTAGGATTGAAATAAAAAAAAGTCAACCCTGACCGAGTTTCCTGTCCTTTCCAATCTCTTTTAGAGTGATTTGATTTTTGTTCCGTGGGATTGCCTTGAACAATGACTCAAAGCTCGGTGTTGATCTTGAGTGTGAGGGTCATCATTCGAAGTTTACATAACTCGAGTACACAAATCAAAACTTGAATAAGCTAGAAGGTTTTGGCTCGAAGGGAATACCTGTAAGGTTTGAATGACCTATGAGCGTATCTCAAGGTTTTAAGTTACTTTAGGAGTAACATCTAGGGGTGACAATATTTGACACGAAACACTAACACGACACGAGATAAGAGGGATTGGGTTAATCGTGTTCGTGACGTAATCATGTTGACACGGATTGACCCGTTAACTAAACGTGTCATGTTCGTATTTGACCCTACTAACACGATTAACTAAACGTGTCAGATAAACATGTCGTACTTGTGTAAAAAAAATGACCTATTTAGATAAACGTGTAGAATAAATGTTACAGTTAGTATCAGAGCCAATTCAGTCCTTACACTAGGCCACTGGGTAAAAACAAGGTAGGGGCATTAATCTATTAGGGTGATTAACTTGTTATGGATCTCTTATCTTATGTTGCGTTTGGTACGCAAAAAAGGAATGGAATGGAATGTCCAGTTTAGCCATTCTTTTATTTGATATGAAATTTAAAGTGAGAGTGATTATTAAATTGGAATGCTATTTTTATTCTGATGGATGAAAATCTATTTCACAACTAAGCCTGTGAAATGGCTATTTAATTTCCAAATGTATATGTAGGAGTATATATTTTTGAATCAAATTACTAGAAAACCCTCATGTTCCAAATCTAAAAACACCACCAACACCGCCACCACTTTCCTCCACTACCACCTCCACTGTCTTCCATCATAGTCACCACTGTCGCCGCCTTCCACCGCCACCACCACATCGCCGCTGCAGTCACCACTGGCTCTCACTACTGCCACCAAGACCACTTTCCACCACCACCGCCGCCTTATACCACTACCACCTCTATTATCTTCCACAACCATCATTACCATTACCATCACCACTGCCACCACCGTCTTCCACCTACACCATCACTGTCATCACCACCACTACAACCTCCAACACCTTCCACAACCACCACCACCACCACTGGATTACTTGTAATATCCCTAATTTTAAAAGGATAGTCTCGGCATTTTAATTAATGGTTTTATTGCATTTTATTTGCTTATTTGTTTAAATTGTTGTTTTATTTAATTGAATT